ACATTTCAAGTAAGATATTGTGAATGTTAGCCTTTAATTAGGTAATTATCAGTCTGTCAGTGATGGAAGCCATTTATGTCGAATCTAGAAAAGAATATTAAAATGTGCACATTATATCAACAGGATTCCTGAAGGATTTTTGATAGACAGTCTCCAACCTGAAGACATACCAATAATCGTCTCACGATGGAAGAGCAGGTGGCATGAGACCCAGGCAGGCTTGGAGTCCCTCGTGGCCAAGTTGCCATCAGTGGCCATCCGCAGTCACCAGACAAACGGCAGTGATGAGTCAGCATCAGAGCACTCAACAGAACGCAGTCTAGTCGCCTATAGCTACCTATATCACATCGGCATGTTGGCCAACATCTTCACCATGCCTGAGCACCGGCGCCACGGGCTGGGCAGGGCAGTGGCGCTCACCATGGTCGAGAAGCTCCGTCAGAAGAAGCTGCCGGTGCGCTCGGTCGTGGACGGCTCCAACGGCGTCTCCATCAGCTATCACCAAAAACTGGGTTTCAAGAAGCAGTGCGACGTGAAAGTATTCCTTATGTTACCTGTTGGAAAAACAATGGAGGATTATAAGAATGTATTAATGTTCAATAAATAATATCTCAGATGATCAGTGTGAAATTCCTTAACAAATCGCCTTAAACAATTACCAGAGAATGTGAACACAAAACTGTGGAAACCAATAATAAGGAAAATATAATGAGTTGCATCTAGTCCACAATACAAAATGTTTTATCTGTCATTCGAGGTACACTTTGCAGGAGTATTAAGAGAAATCTTTGATTTTGGAAAAGTGAACTTTTTGGGTTGGCAACAACCCGTCACCAGTACTAATAACAACCTTTTCAGTGCAGCAATATCTGTTATGACGATGTATGCCATATTAGGAGTTCAAATCTAGTTTGGAAAATCACACTTTTGTGTTCTGAACGTATTTTATCTGTACAGACAAGCTCAATTATAAATACGATCCACAAAAGATGGAAGATTATCATATAACTTCACTGTACATACCCTGTGTTCTATAAATTAGAGCCACTTTGTTCAAGATCGTCGCTCCTGTGACAGTGATCTGTTTTCCTTTGGCCAGCCACAATGGTTCTATGTCTGAAATATCCGATATGTGCAATTAGAAATGAAAATAATATAAAACACCTTCTACCTGGACTTAGGTCAGAGGTGTGAACATCTGATTGCTGGCATGGAGAGACCTATGAACGTGTTGTAGGAGATTCTCGTAAACGAAAGGACACGTTTATCGGGTGCTGCGAAATAAAGCTCGAACAAGAAAATTGGCTTTTATTGACTATGTTGTTTGACCGTTTGTATAAAACTAAAAATCCAATGCAGAGTCCCTGTAACTATCTGGTAGCCCAAATTAATGGTGTTTGACGTATATCACTAGTAGGGAGGTTTGACAGAGATCAAATCGATGTTTTAAATGTACTCAAGCGAAATTCAATCATATATTTATATCGAACACCACTTTATGAAGAGGCAGTAAGAAGTACCGCCCAAACATTTGCATTGGCATGAACCGTATTCATGTTTATGAATGTAGAAAAGGCGTGAATCAGAATATCCTCACAATCCAAGAGATTTAATTAACCGGTCTCGAATATATCATGAATTACTGAAGATGTATTCGAAACCGGTTAAATGCATCTCTTGTATTGTGAAGATATTCAGTCTCATTCGTATCTTTTCTATTTCTACACATCAGATCAATTGCCAGGTGGAACATAAAGGGTGCAGAATATCCAATATACTAAAATAAGACAAGTTTCTTTTTTTCTTTTGTTACTGTAAAACACTTGCTTCATCATGCAAACATCTTGGACATTCACTCTCTCCTACGGCATGTTATGGCATGTACAGCCTTGATTAAAATGGGTACGAAATGTAATTTAAATGGGTAATTATATATTGCTCTCGAAGGCTGATGAATGGAGTGTCTGTATCACTCACCATTAGAATCACAAGCTTTTCAACATCATGATGAAGTGTGTCTTGCCCTCCTAGATGCACGTGCTCATCCTTAATTAAAGTATACTGTTGCTATTGGCTGGATGCATTGGATACTACAGTCACAAGAGACTTGCCTTTTTACACTCTGGTCTGTTAGGTTCATTAACTTAACTTACAAATTATTACCCTCTTTTAATGTAAAATAACTTCCAGTGTTGTCTCAAATCAATGAAATCCTTTTATTGGGTAAAATTGGTATGTGATAGTCATTGCTGCTGCCCACCAAGGTTGCACTAACCTGCATTTAGACGCCTGGGACAGTCGGGGCCGCCACGGCACACGGTACATGCTCTGGTAAGTGATGAACCGGCACGCTGTGTTGATAAGGATAATGTTATAGTGAACATAAGTTACATTTCAGCTTTCGGTGAAAGAATTTTCCTGAAAAATTCTAGAATATCGAAAGTTATGTGATTCATGCCCTGTCTCATCGTCCTTTTAACTGCCATAAATTCAGACTATTATCACCTGTTATCATCTGATATCTAGCTATGAGGAGAGCAACACTTCAATCAGCTTGCCGTGTCGTCGTTGGGTTCACTTCTGGCCTTATGATTAGATTCCAAACACTTTCCAAGGGGCAATAGAGTGGATACACATGAAAGCTCTTATTCTTACCTGAAACAGTTGCTGATGTAAGGTTATTGCCTTACATATATTTGGGGAAAATGCCCCTTGGTATTTCTATCTTTTTTTATGAGAGTGAACTATATGAAAGTGAAACTGATGTATACACACGTGCATATATATATATATATATATATATATATATATATATATATATATATATATATATATATATATATATATGTATGTATGTATATATTATATATATATATATATATATATATATATATATATATATATATATATATGTGTGTGTGTGTGTGTGTGTGTGTGTGTGTGTGTGTGTGTGTGTGTATGTGTGAGTGTGTGTGTGTGTGTGTGTATATATATATGTGTGTGTGTGTGTGTTTATGTAATATATATATATACACTATATATATGTATATGTATATATATATATATATATTACGAACATATTGATTTAGACATTTTATGAGGACATTGATGAGAAAATGATGAGTTGTCGAGAAACATTAGCTCATACACAATGGAGGCTATATACGAATTAAGAATATAGATGTAATGATAGTAGTAGTGGGGGCAGAACTAGCTGTAGCACTAGTTATAGTAAGAGCAACGCTTTAAATAACAGTGTCTTCCTATTCCAAACTAAGTTGTGGCCGGCTAGTCACAAGGGTTTTTCCTTATACTTGCATTTTTTTTATACATATTTCATATGTTTCTTTGTTTAGCTGTATATGTAGGTAATTTTAGCAGCAATATCTTTTGATTTCGACTTTATGGAAATGATCGTACCACTGAAAGTGTTTACAACAAACGGAGAAATGCAGTAAAGTAACAAGCAAGTAGTTTACAAAGACACTTGGTACATTGGCCAGCAGAAGCAGCTGTAGAGTATCCAACCTAGGCCGACAGATAACCAGGCATCAGTGGGAAATATTCATTTCTTGTTAAATTGGAATAAAACTAGCTGACAATTTGATGCTAAAAGGCGTTTCCTCCACTAGCAGACAACTCCACGTCACAACAGTACCGTTGGTACCATGAAGACCTTGCGTCAGGTGTCGGGGGAGGAGCTCGAGGCTCTCAGGGACAGGATGACCCAATACCTGCCTTACTCTGCTGGGGTAAGCCCTGTTTATCTTATCTTCAAGAATTCATGGCCTATTGTTATTCATCTTATAGCCTTCCTTAATTGCAACTATTCAGTTTAAAGAGGATTGATTAAAAGCAAGAAAAAAAAGTTAAATAGAGTTGATGAAATGATGACAAGATCTGTTCCTTTCCCAACAGATCCACGGGTTCATCGAAATGATGCTCAAGTGCCAATTGCAACAGATACTTGACGTTAAAGTGTATATTCCCGATGCCCCCCAGCCTTCGTCCCTCGCTCTAGTCACACCCTCTTGTTCACAAGTATGGATGCCCCATACGTGTGTGTATATGCATATGCAGCTAATGATGGTAATACTGAAAGTAAAAGTGAAGGCTTAATAATAGTATATAAACTCCCTATACCAAATTCCACCAACAGCCAAACATACAGAGTGTGACGATTTTCTGGGACACAGAGGAGGAGGAAGACGAAGATGTTGTAAGAATGCTAAAGACACTGCCTCACTGGGACTGGTTTGCTCCTATTTACTTCAAATTTTGTCCTACAGCCGTTTACAATAAGGTCATTAGTTTAATACAAAAGAGTGTGGCTATAAGTTTTCGTTACCTATTTTTCCTGATTTTTTATTGATGTATATATAAAGGTCCCTGTTGTTTTGATAATCATATTCCAGAAGACAATTAGTTTCTATATATGCTTCATGTGTTTCGTGAAGGATTTCATCAAAAAATCATTCAGTACGTCTGATATTGTAATACTAATTTTCAGCTGCAACAATTCATGACGGATGGAACGCTTACGACTGGACAGATGTGGTGTTACAAGATAATTCACGGACATCTTTTTGCAATGGATAGCCCAGATGTTCCGCATTTCAAGTAAGTTAATATTACGAATGTTAGCTATTAAGTAGGCGGATATCAGTTAATCTCCCATTAAAATCATGTATGCTCAATAAGGAAAAGAATTTTAAAATGAGCATATCAATTCAACAGGATCCCTGAAGGATTTTCGATCGACAGTCTCCAACCTGAGGACATACCGACCATCGTCTCACAATGGGAAAGCAGAAGGCTAGAGACCCAGAGAGGCCTGGAGTCTCTCGTAGCCAAGCTCCCGTCCGTGGCCATCCGCAGTCATCAGGCAGACGGCAACGACGATCATGCCCCAAAGGATACGACCGGAAGCTCTCTCGTCGCCTGGAGCTTCCTTTATCACATCGGTATACTGGCCAACATCTTCACCATGCCTGAGCACCGGCGCCACGGGCTGGGCAGGGCAGTGGCGCTCACCATGGTCGAGAAGCTCCACCAGAAGAAGCTGCCGGTGCGCTCGGTCGTGGACGGCTCCAACGGCGTCTCCATCAGCTATCACCAAAAACTGGGTTTCAAGAAGCAGTGCGACGTGAAAATATTCCTCATGCTGCCTGTTGGAAAAACGATGGAGGATTATAGGAATGCATTACTGTTCAGTAAGTAATACTTCAATGTGAGATTGTTTAACAAATTACGTATCAGATAATACAGTGAACAGAGGATGTGATGTCATAGCAATGGAAACCATGAATGAGGAAAATGAATAAGACGTATATGCTTCCAAAGACCTGATTTGGAGGGGGTTATGTCCTCCTGCATTATGAGTCTCCCAATCTCTGATTACAGGAAACTCAAACGAAAATAGGAAGTTCGTGAAAACAGGGTTTACGATTACTTCTCAGTTCTGAATAAATTCAGAATATTACATTCTGTTTTCCTTAAATTCTGCAGCGACATTGCTTGATGATTTTCAAACATTGTTAGATACAAATTAGAGTGCATAAACGATTTACTGCTGCTATAAAAAAACAACAGGTATATCTAAATAGCTGTCATGAGCACTGTCAAAGAATCTTATCAGAACAGGAACAACTGTTATGATGATGTATGCCATATTAGTTCAACTGAAGGCTGGAAAACCATACTTCCCTGATTTAAACAGGATTTACATTTGTTTGTGATGTGTCTGAAATATGTGGTATGTACAACGAATGTATTTGTAAGTCATCAGGTATAATGGGTATATAATAAAACGGAAAATTTAATTCCAGATTAATTCAATTCACTATTAGAAAATCAAGGTAGTCGCCACCAGGAATTACTATTAAATAACAATGTTTAACTTCGGCTATACAGAAATAAAAAAAGAAATATAAAATATAACAAAATTTTCTCTAAAAACAACTAAAAATATATATGTACACTCGTCAAATCACTGCACAAGTATATTGTGTGATTGACAAACACACTGGATAACCATAGAACATTTACTTCAAAAAGGAACACAAAAATGCCATTGAGTTAACCTTCCAGACTATGTGCAGGAAGGTCCTTATGGCCGTATCACTAGACTTTCTAAGGGCCCCCCAGTGTGTTCCTCCTTCCGTAAAGATAAACTAATCAGTTAAATACAGCTGACTCCCCAATTTTGGCGAAAGGAAAACTCTTTCTGCCCAAGTGGTGATACGTCTGAGAAAAAAAAACGCATTTTCTGTGCTGTAGGAGGAGAGTGGGCTCTACATTGTTCCAATCGATTTTATGGTTTAAAAGAAGATTAGATGTTTATTAAAGGATGGTAATCAGTCTCATTACAGTCTACCATTTTTTTTTCGACTATCATTTATGAATTCAACAAAATTCATGTAACAGCTATTTCCCACCCACAATATAACTGAGGTTATTTTAGGCTAGGCTGTTATATGTCCGGGGTATAAGTTAGGCTAGGCCAGTCTATACCCCAGGGAAGTTGCTACCTAGGATTTTTATCAAGATGGAGTGGGGCCGGCATTGTAAACGGAGGGGTTAACCTAAGCATTTTGGACTAGGGAGACGTGCAGGGAATAAAGACCAAATAATAGTTTCTATAAGCACGACTCCCAACACCTATTTCCACCAAAAGCAAAACATGTACAGTGTGACTATTTTCTGGGACACAGAGGACGACGATGATGAGGATTTGTAAGTATGCTGAAGCCACTGCCTCATTGGGACTGGTCTGCTCCTATTTCCTGCAAAATTAGTCCCACTACTATTTGCAATAAGGCTTCTTTTTTTTTAGCTAGTTTCTTATTTAGTTGTCATTTTCCTGAATTCTGATGGCTGTACACAGAAAGTTCATATTACATGGCACTCGTCGAACATCTGTTTTTTCATGGACAACACAAATGTTCTGCAATTGTAGTAAGAATTTATCATGGGCGTTAGTTACTACTTAAATGAATAAACAATAAAAGATATATATGCAAACATTTATACTGAATTAAGATAAAAGGGTTTCCGATCGAGTCTCCGAAATACCGACCATCGTCTCGGAATGGAAGTACAAATGGACCGCGACAAATGCAGGTCTGGAATCTCTCGTGGCCAAGCTGCCGTAGCCATCTGCTGGCACCAGGCAAACGGCAACGATGATTCCGCCTCACAGGACTCAACTCCTGTCTCCTGGAGCTTCCTATATCACATAGGATTCCTGGGCAACACCTGCACCGGCGCCGTGGGCTGGGTAGGACTGCGACGCTCGCCATGGCCGAGAAGCTCTGGCGGAACCTGCCGGTGTGCTCGATCGTGGACGGTCCAACGGCGCCTTCATCGGGAACCAGTGCGACGTAAAGATACTCCTTACGTTGCCATCTGGAAAAACGATTGATGTTTATTCAGAGTAAACTTTTCAAAATAAAAATGTGATACAGTTTAGTCTTTCTTGAATTCCGTGGTGACAGAGACTGCTGATGAGAAGGCATATGCGGGAACATTTGCACAGATTCTTCTTATTTCCCATTATGGTCTGCACAGTTACTGGAATGCAAAGTTGATCATGGTACTAGTGGTTGGCAACAATCTTCCGGAAGGAAGAGGACGACACTATAATGGGATATTTTGTTCCTACCATAAACGTAACACATGGAAAACAGGAGACTGCTTCAAGGTGCATTTAAAGACACCAAGATTTTGTTAACATGCATACACAATATTCCCAAACAGCTGCTCAAAATACAGCAGGAAATGATACCTGACACTCGAATTGTTTGATTTGCTTGGTATGCATTATGTTTAAATTATGCGGTTGCAAAACTTAACAGGAAAAAAAAATGCCGTGGTGAGGCAGTAAAATCACAGGAAATATTTCTTTGAGACTGTCTGCTGGGTAATTTATTCAGCTTCAAGTTATTGGCATGTTTTATAGCTTACCATAACATTTCAGATGGACACATATATGAACACTAGGTTTTATCAAAGTTTTGCGATGACCACTTATGAAGGACAATTGAGGAGCCTTGACCAAGATATCATACTACACGCGACACCTATGGGTCTTTTAGATGCATTGTCGAATAACTCAAAAAATCTTTGACCGTCTTACCTGCTTTCGGGTAATATCCGGAGCACAGTGTGGCGGATCCGGGCGAGACTGGCTCTTCTACATGCCCGGCCAGTAGACTTTCAAATGAGTGGTCGGACACTTCACAATTCATTTTGGTTTCTGAGATATAGGCGTTACAGGAAAGCACCATACACCATTTATCTTCTATATGTCCCTTAAAGTTACTAGGTCATTACATATAGTCCTAGCGAACCATCCTTAATGATGTTCAGGTTCTAGGATAGTTTTCTTTATGCTCATTAAACACACACATACACACACACACACACACACACACACACACACATACATATACATATATACATATATATATATATATATATATATATATATATATATATATATATATATATATATATTTTTTTTTTTTTTTTTTTTTTTTTTTTTTTTTTTTACAGCCATTCATTCCACTGCAGGACATAGGCCTCTCTCAATTCACTATTGAGAGGTTATATGGTAGTGTCACCTTTGCCTGATTGGATGCCCTTCCTAATCAACCGCGGTTCGGTGCGCTAACATCTATGCCACGGCGATGACTTCCCCTACGACACCTGCGTCTGACTTCTCAAGGCGATATGTCGTTTTCTCGGGTTCGAGATAGCAGTCAGAGCGCAGAAATTTCGACGACCGCCGCGACAGGGAATTGAACTCGGGACCATAAGGGCCGGGTATATACATATATATACATAATTTTTTGTTTGTTTTTTCTTTTTTGGGGGGGCGGGGGGGGGGGCGTGAAATAATAAATAAAATTAAACTGACCAAATAAAATTAAACTGACCAAACTGAAGCTGTCATCTACACGCAAATGTAAACACATGACATAAAACAAGCAATGGCGTTATACACAACATTAAAATAGTGACCCCATCAGCAGCATAGCCAGAGCCAGTACATCAGTCCTCGATGCTGGTCATGCTTTCACCCCCCTCCCCCGCCCCCCCACAGCGCGAGCACAAACTACGGCGACGCCTCCTTTCCGAGCGAACACAGTTGGCCGAGTTGGGCCACTTGTTGTCTCAACTTTTTATGGGGCGACGGGCCGAGTTGGTCCTCGTGTGGATCCACCCTCGTACGCTGAGCGCTCGGAGTCTGAATAACACGATGAACTGCACACCGGCGCCCTGGTCTGAATAATGCAGGCCGCTCGATATTCCTGATAAGTGATAGAATTATTCGTGCTATGGAGATATCTTTACTGTACGAAGCTAGGTAGCATGGAAAGAAATAGAGAATGAAATTGATACTATTGGTAATTCAATTAATGATACAGATAATGCTCCTGATAATTACTGCAACAGTAGTAGTAGTAGTAGTAGTAGTAGTAGTAGTAGTAGTAGTAGTAGTAGTAGTAGTAGTAGTAGTAGTAGTAGTAGTAGTAGTAGTAGTAGTGGTGGTGGTGGTGATAGTGATACTGATGACGATACATTAGAAATAAACATAGCTGGCGATCCATTCCTATATTAAACCATTACTGAGTCAGTACACAAATATAAAATCTAGTAAAACAGCAAAATTGTGCATGTACTAATCAACGACTTGCTTATGATCAGCTACACTCATACATACAGTACGTGGGTCAGTTATAAATGATTATGTTTCCTGTTCAAATGTCAGTGACATGCAAATTGGGACCATTTTCTCAGCTCTGATTAAAATTATCCCTTAAAAGTCTTGCTTCATCTTCGCCACCATAAATTAGTTTTAAAACCAGCCACTGAGCCTCGCTAACAAGTCTAAATTAAAGGACTAGGCCCTTACCCAGCTAGACGCAAACCGCCATCAATTTACAAAGCATGTGTTGTGCCTGTCCCCTTCCACTGTTGCCTCTCACAGGACGTAAAAACTGCGCAATGATAAGATAACCGTCTGTGTTGCGCTCTGTCGGAGGATTTTACAATCTGGCCCGTTTTCTATGGCGCTTGTTGTCTGTTTGGTTTAGTATATTGATCAGTTAGATTTCAATTCTCTAAACTGTGGCTTAAATGTGTTCTCCACTTTATACTATTTGACCTCGTTGATATGCAGCCCATGTTTGAGGATATCACCGCAGTCGTAGTGTCTGTTGTGTTTATATACGTATTGTAGTAGTGTACCAGGTAGAGGAGGAGGGTCGGTTGATAAGATAAGTTAACACTAATAAAATATTGGAAATTACAAATCGATCCGAAAATTTTAATTTTAATATTGTCGACTGAAAGTAATCGATCATATTGTGAGGTAAAGACAGATGCAAAGGTTCTTGCCTGTGTATAGAGCCAGTATCTGAGCATGTGAATAGATAGATAAGTATGAATATCCGCAGACATATAAGCACACACACACACACACACACACACACACACACACACACACAACACACACACACACACATACACATAATATATATATATATATATATATATATATTATATATATATATATATATATATATATATATATATATATATATATTTTTTTTTTTTTTTGTTTTTTTTTTTTTTTTACAGCCATTCATTCCACTGCAGGACATAGGCCTCTCTCAATTCACTATTGAGAGGTTATATGGTAGTGTCACCTTTGCCTGATTGGATGCCCTTCCTAATCAACCGCGGTTCGGTGCGCTAACATCTATGCCACGGCGATGACTTCCCCTACGACACCTGCGTCTGACTTCTCAAGGCT